TGCTGAAATGGCACACAACTTCAGTTTTCTGTATAATAATTCTGCATTATTAAGTGATAAGAACAAGTAATCTGACGTCCTGTAATAATTATGAAGCTATAATTTGAGATACAATAAAAGATACAGTAAAAAAATGTTTTTGTACAAAGTATCGGATCAGTATCGCCGATACCACCCTGAATTTTACTTGGTATCGGATCGGAAAGCAAATCAGTGGTATCGCACATCACTACTTAAAGTGACTACAGTTGGAATGAAGAATACCTGTAATTAGGGATGGGGATTTAGCGATTATTAATATCACTTAGCAATTTGATTCCTTATCAATTCTCTTACTGATTCTCATTGTATCTGCTTTGAGTCGCCATCATCAGCAAGCAGCATATCAGAGATATTACATTCCTGCAAGTTAATTCCATGTTTTTGCATGTTAGAGGTATTTCCTCTCTTTGTTGCAATGAGTGTTGGGGTCGTTAGTCAAGGAAACTGATGTATTATAATTACACAAACAAAGGTTCCTATAAGTAATACAGTACATTACTTAAGTAATTCCGGGAGACAGTAACTCGTTACATTACTTATTACATTACTTTCATGTTTTTTTGTAAAATGACCTGAAACAAATTGTCTTGTAATTACTATTTAACAATATAAACCTATAGACTACACGACACACAAATCCCCATCCTAGAGGAGACACATATGATCTTTCTCTTAGCATTTAGGTATGAACACAGTCGACAGCACAGAGCACAGATAAAAACCAGCACAGAGATGTTGAGGCGATCGTCACGGTGATTCTACAATAGAAACACGAACAGGTAGAAACGGAAGCTGCAGCCTGACTGCTCATCGCTGCTTTTGTTACCCGTTGAAGTTCAGGGTCTGACTGCTGGGTTGTGGTCAGCATTCACTCAGCTTTAATAGCACTTGGCTCGTGGCTGGCTTAGCATTAGCATGCTGTCTGTGCAGATGCTTGCAAAGAGCTGAAGTTGTGTTAGCATCATAGAGCTGTTGTTTTTGTTCTGGATCCAGTTTGCACTTTACCATTGTGCTTTTATCCTGTTGCACAATAAAAATAAAAGTAATGTCCATATCCAGACTGCGCCACTGTTTTCCTCCTCCAGCACATGAACTAAAATCAGCCAATTGCAACCACAAGTGGAATCAATCGGCAGGCAGACGAACAATTCAAAGGAATTGGATTACTGGCAGCTGGTTCTTTACAAGAACCTATTCCTATCCCTACCTGTGATTGACATATAACCTGCAACCAAATATGCTAAAGGCAACGAGAGACCTCAGTTTTAAAGTGTGCTACAGTTACCAGGTAACTTTCCAACTTGCAGTACTTTAGATATAACATAATGTCAGTGTGAGGCATTCTTCACTCTCATTGGTAGTCGCTTCAGTCACTCAGCTGGAGGATGAGAAAAGCTTATCTCGAGTTCTGCCAGCTTCCCAATGCCAGCAGTCAATTACGTCCTGGAATGTCATTCACTTTCTGTGGTCTCTGGTCACTGCCTTTCTTGTGTGAATACATAAAACATTAAATGAATGTTCATGCTCTGTTTTCATACAGGTGAGTTGTGATAAGCCTGCAGTGCTACGCTCTACAAACGTACATATGCTATGATCGTTATAGTTAATGTTAACGGTCAGAAGGGCTGAAAGTTCATCAGTGCTTTGGAACCTCATTTCAACCAGTCACACCATTAGAAGTCAGCGCATTAATATGGTGCTACAATGGTCCATGCTTTAGTTAATGTGCTTTTAGTAGGAACTCATAAGATTCACTGATCATTTCCCCTAACTTAGAAATGTAATTGTGCGCAAGCCCCTCATTCTCCAATCGATCGCTTGACCGTTGGCACAGCAGACCAAGCAACTAAAAAACAGTAAATTCTATTAGCCCTGTTAGCACTTAGGAGCTAATGGTTAATAATTAAGGCTTGTGCAAGCAATGATTAGACCTGTGTACATAAATACGTTCAGTGTTGGGAAGGTTACTTTTAAAATGTATTCCATTACAGA